TAGAGTCAAACATGTCTCTGAAAAGTCTCATGTACACCGTCCCCAGCTTATAATGTTTCAACTTGTAATTTTTTGACTTTACAATGGGTTTATCAGGATGTAACCCCACCGAAAGTAAAGGAGTACCTGTATTCCAAAACATCTCTCAAATCTATCTTCATACAGCACCCAGAAGAACTTTCTAAAGCTTCCTTACAGTTCCAGTTACTCCGTCCCAAACTCCTTCGGGAGCTTCCTGTTCCTATGAGGCAAGATCTTGTCTCCTTAGGATAACTTGTCCCTGTCTTCTCCAGCCTCATCGGTCATCATTATATGTTCCACCATTTATGCCCTGGTCAGGACACCTTCCTCACTACAAAATGCACCAAGACAAGGTGTGTACTCCTCTATCTTTTCCCTCTTCCAACCACCTTTAGTCCTCATCACCCCCACTCCAGCTTTTACATTCTTTACCAGATGCCTTTCTTAACTCTCTGAGCTGAGACCCTCCTAATAGTTTATTTCACACCCTGTGCCTTCATCTGTCATGTACTGTCCAAGGCTGGCATCATCTACTCTTGTGCCTGACCTCAGCTACTGTGTGAGCTCCATGGGCAGGTCTTCTCTCTGGTCCAGTTTTCTATCTGTCGTGCATAGCACAGTGCCCAGAAGAGAGTCATTACTTTAAAATTTCTTGCTTAACTGAATAAATGTATAGGTCTATGTAGATGTTCAGCTGCTAGATATTATTAAGATGATGCTTATATGAATCATCCAGTTTCGATCAACAGAAACACAGGTAGCCATTGATTTGCTGATTTCTTTACATACCTATTTCACTTCTTAGATCAAAAAGAAAATGTAAACAAGGAGTTTGGATCAAGATTTTATTTTGTCTAAGGACAATTCAATGATATGTTTCCAGTCAATAAACAATTCATCATCTTTATTCTGTAGCAGTTGTTGTAAAAATTATCATGGGCTTTACCCACCTTCTGGGTGTACCTTCTTGCTTTTATTTTCTGTGACCTGTGTGGGTGACTTTTGGCAGAATTGAATTGAGAGAGGACTCAGATGAAACGACGGACCGATTGGTGTTAGCAATGTCCCAACCCGCCACTGAAGTAAGACAAGCGTGATGAGGATGGCCAGGCACTTGCTGAATCAAAGGTCCTCTTTGTCAGAGGACAAAGATGACCTGGGGTCTGTATGTGCAGAAGGAAACGACAAGGTCCCTGCCTTTAAAAAAAAAAAAAAATCCAAAAGATCAGAGAATTGAGGAAATGTTCAGACTGAGATCGTCTCTCTCTGATGTCTGGCTGGCCAGATCAGAGAAGTAATAATCTGCCTATGTGCCAGACAGATACTGGGACCGTGGAGTGGGCACTTCCCATGTACTGCCCCAATCTTGATGTTACTTTCCTTGTTCAATGGAGGACTGCATTGAAGCGCAGGGATGTTAGAAAGTTGCTCGAGGAACTAGTGCAAGAGCCATTCTCAAACTCAGCCCTGATGGCTACAAATTAATGTCACAAGTCCCTCACCTGTCGGATCAGAGGGTATCAGACAGATATCAGTGGAGGGGGCAGTCTGGGGGGGGTGTAGGAGTGGCAGGGAGAGAGTGCTGGCACACTGCAGAGAGGAAAAGTATGAACTAATTTAACGCTGCTCCCTTTCTTTAGATCAGGATGCAGCCACTTTTCAGAAAGTGACACATCTCGTTCTCCTTTTGGGGAAGGAGGGTGGATGTGGTATGAAGCCCACATCCCCACCCACCACACCTCCAGCAGCTCCTGCTGTGGTCACTTTTGAGTGCAGGTGGCCCGGGACCTATCCTGTGCTGGCTCCGCTCCCATTGTGTTCTGTTGCAAAGCCCAGTGCAACTCTCTCTTGCATTTCCTCAAAAGGTGCATGGCAGCTCCTGCTCCACAAGAAATAAGGAAGGCCTCATGCACTCTCTTTGCCTGTCACTGCCCAAGAGCCAAGACTCTCCCCTAAGGTCCTCACCCAGGACGGTACACTTAGCGTGCTGCCCAAAACCACAGAGTAAATGCAGCACACTATGCTTCTGCTCAGCGATTTCTATTTCAGTGTTTCCTAGACTGTACCTGTGTTTATCTCATGGAAGAGCAGAATGTTCTACAGAGCTGAGCGGTGACAGGGAGGCTGATGTCAGGGGTCAGAGTTTCCTAAACTCACTGAATATTGTGATGATCCATGCATCTTTTTTATAATGAACTAGTTCTGGTCTGCTTAAAATAAGGAGGTCCCATTATTAAGGCCCCTTTGGCACCACTGGATTTCTCCCTAAATGATTTATAAAGGTTTGTCTTTAAAACAGTACACAGTCCATGCGGTGTGGTTCAGTTAGCCAAACACACCAGCAACAGCCCAGAGGTTCCACAGCTCCGCGTGCCTGCAGGCCCTCACAGTCAAGCAGCTGCTGGTGGTGGTTGTGGAACTCTATCGCACTAACCAGTGTTCGCTGACAGCAGCCCCCCACTTTTACAAGGCCCCTTCTAATTTACAAAAGGCCTTTCTTTACCTGTATAGATTTTTGTTTAATTGTCACGAAAACCCGGTGGAGTAGATATTAAGGTGCACCTTTTCACAATGGGCACAGGGAGGTTCCAGGTGACAAAGGCCCCCGGCGGGGTGTACAGTCAACAAACAGATGAGAGACACTCGTTCTTCCCTCCTACACGGGACTCTGATTTCATTCTCAGGGCCAGCACTGAGGGGTGGCAGGTGATACACTTAATGTGAAGGCCGCCACTACCCGTCATTCTGCTCAGAAGATTTGTACACAGTGTTTCACGGCACAGAGGGCGCTACCCAGGAAGACAGGGAGGAAACACAGCAAACTCGAGAGGCTCCTTCCAGGTTTACAGAAGCCCACAGTCCATCTCCCCTCCCAGACATCAGTCTCCATGTGAATGCATCTTTTGTGTGTATATAAACACTGATATGTTTACTTACATAAAAGGCAAGAAAAAAGACTTAAAAGCCCATTATTAATAAAGTGAAAACATGCCATAACTACCAAGCTCATTACACAGCTATGCTGGCCTTGGCAGCCTGCTGAGCCCAAGAGGCGATTTCATCTTTTTATTACTTAGTATTTTTACTATTAACAGCATCTATTCTCACCCTTTTCTGTCACCCTGCAACTATGAGAAGTGAAGCCGGCTGGGCTTCTGCCTCAGGTGAACTTTTCTGCCTAGCTAAAGCATTGTAAACACACCAGTCAGCGCTCTGTGTCTAGCTAAAGGTTTGTAAACACACCAATCAGCACTCTGTAAAAATGGATCAATCAGCTCTCTGTAAAATGGACCAATCAGCACTCTGTAAAATGGACCAATCTGGGCTCTGTAAAATGGGCCAATCAGCAGGCTGTGGGTGGGGCCAAATAAGGGAATAAAGCTGGCCACCTGACCCTGCAAGCAGCTTGGTCGGGTTCTATTGTAGGCTGTGGAAGGTTTGTTTTTTAGCTGTGTGCAATAAATCTTACTGGTCATTCATTGAGTGTGCAGTATGAGCTGTGATACTCGCTGCGAAGGTCTACAGCTTCACTCTTGAAGTCAGAAAGACCATAAATCCACTGGGAGGAAGGAGGAAGAAACAACTCTGTATGTGCCATCTTTTAAGAGTTGTAACACTCACTGCAGAGGTCTGTGGCTTCACTGCTGAACTCTGCCAGGCCATTAACCCGCCACAAGGAGGAAACTCCAGACACATTGGAACATGAGAGGAAGAAACTCGGTACACACCATCTTTAAAATGTGTAGCACTGACCTGTGAGGGTCCGCGGCTTCATGCTTGAAGTCAGGGGCCAGTGAGGCTAGAACATGCCGGAAGGAACCAATGGTGGGCACAGTTATGTATCAGCACAGAGGGGCCACAAGTTTATGGGCATCTGAAGAAAGAAAGAATTGCGTATCTCGTCAGTTTCCCCACACGGGAGTCTTTTGAGCTCTTTTTGTGTACATACTAATTAAAGGGATGACTCGGCCTTAAGCCAGACTGGAGTTGACTCTCCCTGAGTGCGTTTTCTCGTGTCTCATTCTGCCGTGGAAAAGTGAAACACAAGCCACCGTGTGGCCTTTAAACACAACATTGTCTTACTTTCTGCGTCTTGTCGCAGACCTAGGGAGGTGTAAGTAGGTTTGGCAGAGGCACCCAAACCAGAGAGATTCCATTCTGCATAAGGGCTGGGTAAAATGAGGCTGAGGCCTGCTGGGCAGCATTCCCAGGAGGGTAGGCATTATGTAAGTTGGGGGATGAGGTGGGAGCCTAGTACAAAATACAGGTCACACAGACCTTGCTGATAAAATAGAGCACAGTAAAGAAGCTGGCCAAAACCCAGCAAAAGCAAGATGACAATGAAAGTCACCTCTAGTTCTTACTGGTTATTACAGTAGTTACAATGCATTGGAATGCTAAAAGACACTCCCATCAAAGCCATGACAGCTGACAGGTACCATGGCAGCATCTAGAAGTTACCCTATGTGGTCTAGAAAGGGGAGGAACCCTGGGTTCCTGGAATTTCCCACCCCTTTCCCAGAAAAACTCATGAATAATCTACCCCTTGTTTAACATACAATCCCGAAACAACTGCATACTCAGCTGAGCAGCCCATACCACTGCTCTGCCTGTGGAGTGGCCATTCTTTCATTCGTTTACTTTCTTAATAAACTCGTTCTCACTTTATGGACTCACCTTGAATTCTTTCTTGAAGGTCCAAGAGCCCTTTCTTGGGGTCAAGATCGTGGCTCCTTGCCACTAGCAGGCTGAGGGGCACCCATGGCATCTGCTCTGAGTTCCTCAGAGAACTAGGAAGAGTCTCATGTGAGAGACCAAGGCTCACCTCCCCCAAGAACAGCCGGGAAAAGGGGAGAAGGAAGGGAGGTCACAGGGTCAGAGAGCCTGGGAGGGCGGCAGGTGAAAGGCGCCGAGCTCTGAGCTCATCTCCTTGTCTCCCTGGGAAGGAAACAGTGTGGTGGTCGTGGTTCCAGGTGAACATGCGCACCCTGGCGGCGGAGCGGCCCAAGCGCTGGCTGAGGGGCCCGCCACCCAGGGCGCGCCGCCCCCGACCCCTGCCGCTCCCACTCCCCGCCGGCAGGGGACGGGATTTCTCTCTGGGACAGCTGGCCCGCGTTTTGGTAACACGTCATAACAAGCCGCGGTGTTCAAACCCGGAAGCGCCCAAAGGGACGGGAAGTGTTTCCCGCCCGGATCCCGGTGGGCGGTGAGGTTTCTGCCTTTGGTGTCCCCCATCTGGCAGCTGGCCCTGCTTCTGTGATCCTCCTGGGTTGGAACCAGGGATCCAGTAGGCTCGAAGTGGCCTCAGACGAATATTTAGAAGATGTTTCAAAGAAGGTGAAAAGTGGGCTAATGTTTGTAAAACTGGTTAACTGGTGTTCAGGAGACGGAGCCATTTAGTTGTTCGCTATGTGTCTACAGCAGCTGTTTGAAGTAAAAGTTTTCAACCATTCTTGGTTTATAAATCAATCAGTTCAATCAAGAGGCCGTCTCCACTTTGCCACACCTGTGGATCCTCTAGTTCTGCTGCTCCACTACCTCATAAAGGCTGATGAGGAGGGGAAGTTTCAGCCCCTCGCTATCAAGTTGTGGTGGATAACGTGTTTGCAAATTGCATCTTGTTGCTGAAACTTCCTGAACTTGAGAAGTTACTTCACCGTGTGACAGAGGAAAAAGAAATAGACAACAAGAACTATTACAAGTACAGTGAAAAGAAGACATTAAAGTGGCTGGAAGAAAAGGTTAAACTACGGCAGCATTAAAAACCAGTAATGTGAATGTCATTTCCCGGGTACAGTCAGCTGCATTTTTCTCTGGTGACCAAGTTTCCGCTGACAAGGAAGAGGATTATATTTTTTATGCCCATGGCCTGATATCTGATTACATCCCTAAAGAATTAAGTAATGACTTATCTAAATACTTAAAGCTTCCAGAACCTTCAGCCTCATTGCCAAATCCTCCATCAAAGCAAATAAGGTTATCAGATGAGCCTGTAGAAGCAAAAGAAGATTACACTAAGTTTAATACTAAGGATTTGAAGACTGAAAAGAAAAATAGCAAAATGACTGCAGCTCAGAAGGCTTTGGCTAAAGCTGACAAGAGTGGAATGAAAAGTATTGATACCTTTTTTTGGTGTAAAAAATTAAAAATGGGAAACGTTTGAAACTTTGGGAAAAAAAAAAGAGACAGTGTGACCTGAGGTAGTCAGGACCGAGAGTGGACAAGGGCTGGTTGTCTTCTCTCCAGCTGGGCTGACAGTGGGAAGCATCCCATGGTAGAAGGTGAGTTTGGTAAGGAAAACCTTTTGTGTATGTGTCAAAAGATTCATAAGTGCTTGGGATAGAATGATGGAAACAAGATTTAGCAAGACCCCAACCGCCAAAAAAGGTTTAGAGGTTGCAGCTGTAGGGAAACTCATACAATATGAGTCAAGAGTGAGATAATGTTCCCTCTTTCCCACCCAAATAACTTACGAGACTTTAGGTGGCAGTTTAATTTATCTGTGATGGCTTAATCCACACTGGCCGACAGTAACAGGAAAGCAGCAGCATCCCAGGGCGGAGGCACCAGCCAGGGAGGAGACGGACTTCCCTGGAGCAGCTGAAGGAAACAGTCAGGTCTGAGGAGCTCAGGAGCAGAGTCAGGGAACTGGTGCTTCATTCAACCCACATGGGGTTTCCAGCGTGATTTGAACTGGCGTTTAAAATTCAGACTGTGTCACATACACATCTAGATTCTGCTTTTTCTCATACTTGTTGCATTTTCCCATGAGACAGCCATTGTGTGCACCCCAGCTGGACCCACCCCCAGCCCCGACCACGGGGACCAGGGCTGCCATTGGTTAACACCTGTCATGAACTTTATACTGAGGCTTTTCTTCTGGTAAGAGAGAGAGTTCTCTGTATCTGTGTCCATTAAAAGCAGCATAATGAGATTTTAAGAGTACGTGAAGAATGTTTTTGTAAGTTTAATGCAAGGAGCAAGTCCATTTCTCTCCTTTATTTGCCTGGATTCTGTAAAATGTCTAAAATCTTGACATCTAAGCCATTTGGCAAAGGAAATAGCTGGAGGATGTCGAATAATTAGCCCAGAAAAGAGAACACCTGGGTACTGTAAGCGGTTAGGCTCTAATATATGTAAGATTGTCACAAGGGGGAAATATTGAACTTGACCTGCAGGGCTACATAAACTCAACCACCAGTTGCAAGAGATGTATCTAAAATAGAAAAATACAGAAAGATTGAAAGTTAAAAGCATCTGTGGTCCAATTACTTTTTAAAAAGTAATTTAAAAGATTTAAAAAGGTATTTCATGTAAACACGAAACAAAAGAAAGTGCACCTAATTTAATATCTGTCAAGGAAGATTTTATGGGAAAATATTATGCAAAAAAGTGAGATCACATAAGAATAAAAGATCTAATTCATCAGGAAGACCTGTCACTTCTAGATATGAAGGCACTTTATAATACAGTTTCAAACCATTTTAAAATTTTAACAGAATTACAAGAAAAATCACATCTACAATAGTGGGAGACTTTATTCTGCCACTCTATGACTGATAAAACAATTATACCCCCTCCAAAAAAAAAAACAACCAGTAAGAATATAAAAGATTTGGACAACAATACAAGTTGAGCATTCCTAGTCCAAAAATCCATAATCCAAAATGCTGCAATATCTGAAACTTTTTGAGTGCTGACATTGAAGCCACCAAGTAGAAAATTCCACATCTGACCTCACGTGGTGGAGTCAAAAACGCAGGCTATGTGTATAAGCCGTGTACAACACATTGATGAATTTCATGTTTAGACTTGGGTCTCATGCTCAAGATATCTCATTATGTATATGCAAATGTTCCAGAATCTGATGTCTGAAACACTTATGGTCCCAGGTGTTTCAGATAAGAGATACTTAGCCTGTATTAGTAAATATGATTTAATTGACATACATGGAACACTGTAGTCAATAGCTACAGAATACATTCGTTCCAAGCACGCACAGAATATTTAACAAAACTGACTGTCCACTGTACCATAACACAGAGCTCTACTAATTTCATAAAAGTGAAATCATGCAAAATAAGTTTTCTGACCACAATGCAGTTGGACTAAAAATCAATTACATATCAGGAAGGTGTTTAAACTAAAAAGAAAAAAATCAATTACATAGGTAACTTGAAAATTGATATATGGAAATAATTATTCCTCTAAATAAATATATGGGTCAAAGAAGACATCCCAGCAGAATCTAGAAAACAATTTGAAATGAATTTTAAGGATAAAATATATACCAAAACATAGAGGAAAATTTACAGAATAAAAAAAGATAGAAAATAAATGAGGCTATCACAAGAAACATAAAAGGAATAGTAAATTTAGTAATCTGCCTCCTCCCCAAAAGAAGAAACAAGAAAATAATAGAATAAATGCAGAAATAGATAAATTAGAAAACAAGTGTATGATAGAAAGGATTAAACAATCTAAAGTTTAATTCTTGGAAAAACTTTAAGAATTTAATAAAATTTAATGTGAGACTTATCAAGAAAAACCTAGCAGGAGGGATTTTTAAAAGATCATCACAAAGGTGATTATGATTTAAAAATGAGGGCATTGGGAGGTGGAGGTTGCAGTGAGCGGAGATTGCACCATTGCACTCCAGCCTGGTGACAGAGCTAGATTCCGTCTCAAAACAGAAAAAATAAATAAATAAAAATTTTTTAAAAATTTAAAAATGAGGGCATCACAAGGATACTGCAAATATCACAGGAGGAAATTATAATAATACTAATGCTAATATATTTGACAATTTAGATTAAATGGACAAACAATAGAAAAATACAACTAATAATAGAAAATGTGGAATCCTATAATTATTAGAGAAATTGAAACTGTAATTATAAACCTTCTCACAAAGAAAACTCCAGGCCCAGCTGGTTTTACCAGTTAATTCTGTCACACATTTAAGGAATAAAAACCACCAATCTTGCTTAATTATTTCATGGACTAGGAAAAAAAAACATTAAATATCCCACAACCTGTTTTTATGTAAACCAGCATAACTTTCGTTCCAAGAAC